TGTTTTACTGTAAAGGGAGCTTTGAGCTGTGTGACATACATAGTGTCCTGGGGCAAGGACCTGAATAACTAACTACTCTACTTTGGCCCAGTAATTGCAATCAGGAGCAGACCTAGAATCTGTGGGGCCTGAAGTTTAGGCAGTTGGGTAAGGGGCAGGGGGCCTGAAGGACAAAGAACACAAAAAATATATTGTGAAAAATTTACAAACTCATTTTAAGTACATTGTTAGGGCTCCTCCCAGGGCCTTGCAAGGAAACCATGTAGATGAGGGGCCCTGAGCCTTCACTAACCTCAAGGTAAGTCTACCCCTGAGAATAAAGTTGTTGAACAAATATATAATGTAAGGTTCAGCTGATATATCTAAAGGCAAAATGTTGCCTACTCTTTTAGAAAACTTAGCAAAATCCGGATGAAATTTTGCACTGGTAACATGGTATCACTCCGGGCACTCTTGTGATATGATGTGGTCAACTTCAGTCAATGCAGAACTTCACATGACAGTCATAATTATACTAAGAGCATACTAACGTTATAATTACATAATGCCTGTCGTTTACTGACTTGAACATTTTGCAAATAGCTTTACAAAGCATTTAATATCACCTCATTGAGATGAAAGAGCTAACTGTCATGATTTATCATTTCAAGAGTAGGTAAACTAAGAATCCCACTGAAGAACCTTCATTAAAATTTCTATACAAGACCTAGTTTCCTTTTCCATTAAATCTACAAAATGTCACCTTTTTCATGATAATTTTTAATAAAAGAGCCATGACAATGGGGAGATAGCAAAAATACTTAAGTCAATAAAGTTTATGTGAACTGGAAATATTGTAACTCTGACGTGAATATGCAAAAGTATAAAGTGTCTTGGTGAGGGAAGGATATTATCCTTTTGTCTTTACTAAATCATTTAACTACTTAACATTTTCAAAAATTAAAAAGGAAATCAATAGTTTGCAATTTTACTCCTATTCACTGAAAACTGTCCTAGAGTAATAAAATACCTTTAGCTCCCATTTCAAAGATGAAAAACATTAAAAACATTGGAGTCTAAAAATAATATTATACATTAATTAGTATATCTCCTTTCTTCCTATCTACTGGGACTTCCTGTTTTTTCCCCTTTTGACTCCAAAGTGTTACATCACCTTCATTCCTTACTATTATCAATGTCAGATAAACATATAAGTTTGTTTTATGGGAAATGTTTTCAGTAAGTAGAATTACAAAAATGACATGAAAAAGTGGGGAGGGTCCAGACAGACATCAGATAATTGTAGCTCCAATAAAGGAAAAGCCTGCAGTGGGACCCATGTTTATAGCCTCTGTGGTTTGAAATGCCATAATATGGCCAACAGAATGCAAGCCATGAAAAACAGAGCAGACCAGAGGACTCGGCACACCTGAATGGCTGAGCGAAATGTGCTGGGCTGATAATATCTAAATATATCATCAGGTGAATACGCTTGACTGGGTCAAGTTCAACTGTGTGGAAAGAACAACTTCCATATGAATTACCATTCAGAGAAAAACTAAAAGAATTTACTAGATAGGGACAGATCTAGATTATGAAAAATGTTTTAATCAGAAATATTTTTCATAGCCTTATAATGTCACATCCACCTTATATACACATACGTAACATTTAGAAGCAAAAAGCCTTACTCCCCATAATGAACACTCCTAGTTGTGAAACTGACCTTTTAAAACATTAGCTTTGCTTGGGGGTAGTCCAGTGTATCTGCTTTCCCTAAAATTCTTCTGCAGTGCTCAGTTTGCCTCCTAATTATGCCAAGGGGAACTCTTAAACTTAGACTTTTTTGCTGTGAACATCAGAAACTATCTAAAACTGAGTTGAAAAATACCAGGGAGCCACCCCCTCTGTCTCACTTGCTAAATTTACTCAATAAAGCTAACAAAAGCTTTCAGTGGTAGAATTTTATACTCACAAATGCCAATTCAGAGAGTGAACAAACCTATCTGCTACAGCAAGCATTCCACCCAAATTAACTAGGTGTGGCTTTTATTCATTGTTCAGTCACACTGAACAGAATCACTTCTCTAGCTACCATCCCCTTTAAGATGACATTCCCTTTATCTGGAGGCTCATAACAAGCAAACCATACTCAATTTTCCAAAAGCAGATGTGCTCTTCTGGTATCCTAGAAACAGATCCAAGTCTGCTTTGTGGAAAGACCTGAAGTTCAAGCCAGGGATACCAATTGGTCTTAATATCAGGACTGGAAATTTAAACAGAAGCATGTCTGTTTTAGGGAAAAGAATCAGATTATCAGGGTAGACATAGTGGTTAAAGGGAGAGAGACTTGTTTGGGGAGAAGAGGAACCAGAAAAATTAAAGAAAATCATGTTACTTCCATAGTAATATCAAGATCTATAATAAAGAGCCTTTCTTCCAAATCCGACTGGCCAATGCCACTTAAAATTGCCCACACTAGCTCCATTACAGCATACTTACAAAGAAGCTTTTGAAACCACAAAAGAGGGTCATATCAACCATCTCAGGGTTAGTTTTTTATATGCATAATAATTGCAGAAATTAACCTTGTATCGGTTTATCACATCACAACAGCTATTGTTAAATAATCTACAAGGTAGAAAAGCAATGTCCAATTGTTCCCTGGGGTATTCTAAGTATTGTCTTGTATCTTGTGATATGCTATAAAATAAATTGTACTCCTGTGAGTCATATCAATCATGTTCTTCTGCCTTCTGAAATCTGAAATTACACTCATTGAAGAAAAAAGGGAAATGAATTCTATTATAGAAAGCATGGAGGATCAAATTAGAAAGCATAAGAGGCCAGAAAACTCAATGGATTTCTTACGACTCTAAAAAGCCACTCCTTATTCTCCAATGTGAGCCAGCACAATCAATAATGCATGGAGGGTTGAGACGTGGAATGGACAGACTCTACTGGAGGCTGAATAGAAGATGAATAGTCCGCCTTCTGTCTTTGCCCCTATGTTACCTCAGGCCTTGCTTTCTGATTCCCTGAAACAGGACATTTGATTGATGCTCTGATGCTGTCCCTTGACCTATGAAAAAATATATGCTCCAGCTCTATGGGAAATGCCAGGCTCAGGTGGGTGATGAAGACTAGTGCTTATTCTTTGCTCAATCTGAAACCAAGACATCCTACAAGAGGCCCAGCGTAGCAATGGTGGGCGACAAGCTCCCATGCTTAATTCTCTATTCACTCCCATTCTCTGTACTCAGCAAGCACACTCATTTCTCTGTGGCCTTGTTCATACTATTCTCAGTATACAGAACACTTTCACTTCCCTACCCATTTAGAAGAAGGGAGGAAATGAAATCTAAGGAAAGAGTTTGAAGAAGTAGTTCAACCAGTACGGAGTATTACTAAGTTCAACTAGACCTTAGTATTACTAAAGGTCAAAGAGGAGCTCTGAGGAGCTCACTGGTAACCTTCTGGGAACTCATTTATCAATGTAGTAAATCAATACTGAATTCCAAGGCAAATGTTTTTGGTGAACTAATAGTATAGGACATGAAATCTATTTGTTTACTTAAATCTGTCTAGTCATTCTGAAGAAAAGTATTGTGGTACAAAATTTTAGTGGCTCATCAACGCCCCTACCACCTGTTTTTTGCATTATCTATAAAGCTGTACCAGTTAAAGAGTACCTTAGCTACATAGATCTTGAATTCTAAGAATCAATTTTATGAGCTGGGTTTTCTGGAAAGTAGACTGACCTACCCCCACATTTTCACTAAATAGTATATACTATACTATATAGCATCTAAATATTATATACTATATAGCATCTAAATGCTGTCTGTATCTTCTCAGCTTTCACTGTGATTACTACATAGTCACTGATGAAACAGGTAACAAAGATAACATAACTCTTTCAAATTAGTATCTTGATAATGGTCTGAAGGAATCTTGATAATACTTTAAAGGAAGTAGGCCAGCTGGGATTACAGTGAGACACCACTGAACTGATTTGAGATCTGGAAGAACTCAGTAGAAATGGGAGAGTTTTCAGTTTCCCCTGAAAGGTCTATGACCAAACTGCAACTTTATATTTTAACATATCAGGACAAGGTAAATTCTCAACAGGACAAAGGCCCTTTTTAAAGGATCTATTTAAATTTCCTGATCCACAAAAATAGTAGACACTGGTCTGGAATGACACCAAAATCTTATTAATTTCTGCAAAGGGAAACTCCGTGGCTAGGTTAAGTTAAAACTGTCATCAAATACCTGGCCCATATTCCTCAAGACAGTCAAGGTCCTGGGAAACAGGGAAAAACTGAGAAGTGGTCACAGACCAGAGGAGAGTGGGGAGACAGGATTCAAATAAATGCCCTTGGGTACCCTGGTTTGGACACTGGAACAGAAACAGTACCCTAGTGGAAAAACTGGTGAAGTCTGAATGAAGCCTGGAGTTTAGTTAATAGTGACATGTACATGTTAACAGTAATGGGTACATGTCTGTTTCTCAGTCATGACAAATATACCATGGAAATAGAAGATAATAACAGTGGGGGAAATTCAGCGAGTGGTAAGATGGGGTCTCTCTGTAGCATCTTTGCAGCCTTCTTGTAAACCTAGAATTATTTCATAATAAAAAGTCTTCTACTTTAAACTAGTATTTTTAAAAATGAACAGAACCACCATCAAAGAGCAAGGAAATTTGTTTGAATTAATATCCTAGGATTCAAAGGTTTACATGTAATAATAATCAGACCTCCTCATCTTAATTTTTTATTAATTTTCTTCTATAAACTGAATTTATGGTTAAAGCAACCCAGATTTTAAATCCAGTACACCTGGACTGCTCCCTTCAGATGCACAACTTCGTCGTGTCAATTAACATACTAGCTTGCATCCTAAATCCTTCTGTTACTAACTCCTGAAGGCCTTGCAAGGTTATTCCGATGTAATTATATATATTGAAAGAAAAAGACACACATATGCAATTTTTCAAAGACAGAGCTGTGACTTACAAGTGATGGCATCTGAGCATTTTGGAGCATATACTGCAACTGCTGGGCAAACATGGCTGCGGCTGTACTCCGTTGAATCAGACTGTTCTGTCCATTAATTTCCAGCTGCTTTTTTAAATGTGGAGGGGGATGAAAGTACTTGCACTTCTTTCTAGCACACCGACCCTAAAAAATAGGGAATTAAATGAATCTGCATTAATACTTTTAAAAATCTGGTTTGGCTAAGAAAATAATAAAAGGTTATCAGCCTCTTAGCATGTGAAAAGTACTGTAATAAATACTTGTACATGAATTAACTTATTTAGTCTTCACACCAGCCATCTAAGATTGATACTCTCATAATCTTCACCTTCCAGATAAGGAAACTGAGAGTAAGAGAGGTTGACACATCTAGTTTATTCTGGGCAATTTCTTTGTCCTGAATCCAAACAATGTGAGAAACATACTGAAATCATGGACATTGTGTTACTCAAAGAATAAATATACTTGGCAACTACATTATTTTTTAGGGTCCAGGGGCAACGGCCCAAGATCACCTGGACAATTGAGACCAAAGCATATTTTGGAGTCTCAACAATTTGAATGTTTCATTGACGGTTTTGGCATTTCCAGACAGGAGAATGTGTCAGTCCTGGGGAATCAAACATGCCTTTGGCGTTGCCTGACCTGGCTTCTAATTACGGTGTTTACTATGTGGTAGCAAAGGATGTCAGTGGACAGGTTTTTATCACATTGCAAATGTGACGTGTTGTGTCCGTTCCACTCACAGCACTATACAAATCAGCTCATGGTTCTCTCATCTGGATTAGCAGATCCACTATAATCTTTTCAAGACAAGCCCAACTGCAAGCAATTCTTCCCAAAGATGCTAAGACTCTTTACAGTGCATGAGTTTATTGGAGAGTAGGAGGGAGGAGATAAAAAGCAACCTTTTTTTTCTGAACCCAAGAGTGCAAGTTGCTAAGCCACCTGAATTCACAGGAGAAAATGAGTTAGTTCATCAAGTGTTTTCAACACACACTATGAACTTTCATTATTTATGACTCCTAAATGGTTTACACAATCACTTCTCCATATTTCAGTCTTTTGTTATTAAGGCATTCCTATAATTTCACTGAGAATCAAGGTGTGTCCTTCAAAACATACAGAGCCATATGTAATACAAAACCAAATGCACTGTGAAGTTCTTTTTTAAATATTAGATCACTGGGACGAGTGGCTCTATTATTTCACCTCTGGTGGCAAGAAGCTGAGTATAACTTAAAACATAGCTTGAAAAACGAAAGAAGACACTATTGTTTTCTGTCAGGTTTGTCCTTCCATTTCTCCCATTGATCAATTTATTTTCAATCAAATTCAGTGATTTATCAAATCAAGTAGTATCTTAGTTTCAATGTACCATTACATGTCTCTGCAAATCCTGGAACAGGAAGAATTATTGTTGGTAAGAGTTGAGAATGGCATTAACCCAACCTTCCTGAATTCATAAAAGTAGCCTAGGATTAGCAGAATAATTTCAGTACATGTAAGGACTGTCAGGAAATCCTTACATATGTGCAAAAAATCACAACACTGGAGGGCTTTTTCCCCTATTAATGTGCCCCCTAAGAGAAAACAGAAACTTCTTTCCACATGTACCACAACCTGCACCAAGGCAGACAGTCACAAGGATTTTAGTCCCTGGATTCTCCACCATCCACTCAGCATAACCGAGGTTATCTGGCTCAGAATTAACAGCCCCAGGAGAATCAGTGATCCCTGGTGGCTTCCACAGCCAGGCATGCTAGTATATACTTCCAGGTTGCTTTTCTTCCTCCCACACCTCAACAATTAATATATTCTCCAAGAGTCCATCCCAAATCCTCTGCTCTCCTCTCCAATCTCTATTCCCTGTGGAAATAAAGTTCTTGTAAAGTTTCATCTATCACTGCAATTGCTCAGATCTTAAATCTCTCTCTCTGTCTCTGACCCCTCACCCCTCTTCTGAATTTCAATCCTTTTTATCACTAACGGCAGCTGTCTTTGGAAATCCTGCCCCCTAAAACCAGTTCTAGAGAAATTACTCCTGACCTTCCTTCTCCTTAGACTACTCTTCTTCTTCTTCCTGTATACTCACATTTAGGACACTGCTCTAATTCCCATGCTTTGGGACAGTTACACAGCAGCAGTGAGAAAAAGAAAGAAATGAGGAACTCAGTGAGCAGGACTACTTCAGCACTGCAAATCCACCTTGGTAGCTTCCCCAGACCAGTGGCAAACACAGCCAGAGAGTTTTGTGCAGAACACAATTTGTTAACCCCTTCTACAGAAAGGTATATAGTGAAAGTTGTCCCTTACATTCCAAACAATAGATTGGTTTTTTTAAAAAAAGGAAAAGGGAGGAGCCAAGATGGTGGTGTGAGTAGTTCAGCAGAAATCTCCTCCCAAAAACATATATATTTTTGAAAATATAACAAATACAACTATTCCTAAAAGAGACACCAGTGGATACAGTACAACAGCCAGGATACATCTACATCTGCAAGAACTCAGCATCACATGAAGGGAGTAAGATACAAGCCGCGGCCTGGCAGGACCCGAGTGCCCCCTTACCCCAGCACCCCGGTGGGAAGAAAGGAGTTGGAGCAGGGAGGGAGTGAAAGCCCAGGACTGCTAAACAACCAGCTCTAGAAATCCGCACCCGGAGTGCAGATACAAGGTGCACGGGGTGCTGGATATTAGAGAAACGGAAAAGCAAAACCTGTGGGCAGGTCCCCGCAACCAGCGCCCCTGAGACAAAAGAAAAGCAAGTGCTTTCTGCAAGTCTTAAAGGGACAGGGACCTCACAGCTGGATGAAATCATCCTGGCACACACAGCCCAGTACGTGGGAATCCCGGGGAACTCTAGGCGACCTAACTCCCTGGGCAGCAGTGCAGCTCTGAAGCCCCTCATGGTGATAAGCAGCCTGCCAGTTGTTCTCCCAACTGTCACAGACCCTGACACACTGGCCCAGTAGCAGGAGAGCGGTTGTGCGCGCTGGTGGCAGCAGCGCCAGAAGGGCCCAGGGGAGGCCCATGCAAGCCAGTGGTGGGGTTGCAAGAAGGGCCCGGGAGCGACCCACATGAGCCTGTGGTGGCAGCGACAGAGTGGCCCAGGAGCGGCCCGCTGGAGCCGGCAGCAGTGACAAAGGAGCAGCTCAGGAGCAGCCGCGCCCCCACCAGCTGCCAAGAATCTCATCCTGGCACACAGTCACCCCAGACAGACCCAAAGGCCGCAGCCAGCAAACAGCTGCACAGCGGGGGGTGCCGCTTTCACAGGAGAGCACACCTGGCATGCCTGCCACTCCCTGCGGGGCTCTGCGCTACTCTGATGGAGACCCCGCCCACAGCAGCTTAGGGAATTAACCTGGAGGCTGTTACAGGAGTGCAGGTAACCAACACAGGCAGTGGAGAAGGGCAAGGCAACCAGCAAGCAGGAAAGGACTTTGTTCTCCCAGCTGACACATGCGCTACCTGCCTACAGCTACCTCTATCGCCATGAAAAGGCAGAAGAATTTGGTCCAGTCCAAAATTACCCAGACACCCCCTGAGAGAGGGCCTGGGGAGATAGACTTAACCAATCTCCCCAAAAAAGAATTCAAAATAAAGGTCATAACCATGCTGATGGATCTGCAGAGAAATATGCAAGAGCTACAGGAGCAAGTACAGAGGGAGAATACAAAAATAAAACAATCTCTGGAAGGACTTAAGAGCAGACTGGATGAGGTGCAAGAGGCTGTTAATGGAAAAGAAATTAGAGAACAGGAACAGAGAGAAGCTGAAGCAGAGAGAGATAAAAGGATCTCCAGGAATGAAAGAATATGAACAGAACTGTGTGACCAATCCAAACAGAACAATATTCGCATTATAGGGGTACTAGAAGAAGAAGAGAGAGAAAAAGGGATAGAAAGTGTCTTTGAAGAAATAATTGCTGAAAACTTCCCCAAACTGGGGGAGGAAAGAATTGCCAGACCATGGAGGCCCACAGAACTCCCAACACAAGGGACCCAAGGAGGACAACAACAAGACATATAATAATTAAAATAGCAAAGATCAAATACAAGGACAGAGTATCAAAGGCAGCCAGAGAGAGAAAAAAGGTCACCTACAAAGGAAAACCCATCAGAATATCATCAGACTTCTCAAAAGAAACCTTACATGCCAGAAGAGAATGGCATGATATATTTAAGGCAATGAAACAGAAGGGCCTTGAACCAAGAATACTGTATCCAGCATGATTATCATTTAAATATGAAGGAGGGATTAAACAACTCACAGACAACCAAAAGTTGAGGGAATTTGCCTCCCACAAATAACCTCTACAGTGTATTTTAAAGGGACTGTTCTAGATGGAAGCAATCCTAAGGCTAAATAGGTGTCACCAGAGAAAATAAAATCACACCAAAGAAAGTAGACCAACCAAATACTAACCAAAGGCAAAAAATAGAATCAACTACTCACAAAAGCAGTCAAAGGAAACCAAAAGAGTACAGAACAAAACACCTAACATATAAAGAATGGAGGAGGAGGAATAAGAAGGGAGAGAAATAAAGAATCATCAGACTGTGTTTATAATAGCTTAATTAAGACAGATTAAGTTAGACGGCTAGATAATAAAGAAGCTACGTTTGAACCTTTGGTAACCATGAATCTAAAGCCTGCAATGGCAATAAGTACATATCT